TAAGAAGAGGTCATGATGAATAACCCATACTGGCATAGGCTGATGTCCAGTATGTCAGTAGCTTTATCCGGGAGTAGAGGAAGCGTCCAGGATGGAGTGACCCTCGGCGCCGAGGAAAGGCTCACCTCGGGACCAAGGGGTGGTGTGTCCCCGAGGTACACGTCTGACCGAGGACACGTGTTTGTTTGTATAATATACCGAATGTGTGATCCTACATGAGAGGTACCTCGGGGTAAAGGGCGCTCTTCGCCGATGGTGCTTACATCCGGGCAACACTGTTCCAAAATATCCCGAGGACACGTGTCATCATTTTAGGGCTTTTCAGAAGAGTCCCATCAATGATCATACAAATTGAGCAAGTTATGAGAGTTTTTCTATAGAATGACAATGAGCTTACAAAACTTGAAGTCATTAAAAATCAGATTTCTGTTTTGATACTATTAACTCATTTAGAGTTGATTTTATCAAATTACGTTTAAAATTTAATTAAAAATTATTAAATCACATATTTTGAAATAATTACATAAAATTCGTTGACTTAAACATAAAAAATTAGTTTCTTGCCATTAATTGAATTCAGATTCAGAATAATGTTGGATTGAAGTACGATCCATAACCAACAGTTCTACATTTATCTATCTATCTCTCACTGGTATACACATTTTCTTGCTCGTCCTATTCCGATTTTTCTGCGCTTGGTGCCTCCTCTCTTACTAGGGTGTTTAAATTTTTGACTTGCCGCAAGTTTTTAGTTGTATAACTCTATTATATCTTATTGAACGGTTAGTTGTAAAAATTGGATAAGAGTGTGAATGAATTTTTGATCTTTCAATTAAATCGAATAAAAATATAGAATAGTTATCCATTTTTGTACTTTACTTGCATTAATTTATATATATATATATATATATATATATATATATATATAAACTAAAAAAACCCAATCGTCTACTAAGTCATTTCAGCGCCTCACACCTCAATCCGTGCTTCTCCTTCGGGCTTCATCGTTCCAGAATTCCAGTCCCGATTCTCACCCAGGTACTCTCTCTCTCTCTCTCTCTCTCTCTCTTTCTACGCGATCTGTTGTGGTCTGGCTTGGAAGGTCTGATCGCAGACCTTCCTCACGAATCGTCTGGTCTGAGTCGTTTGATCTTAGTTGCAGATCCTATGTTGAGATCAATCGGTTTTTATCTTATGTTGCAGATCACGATGGCCTGGTCTTTTTCCTATGTTGCAGATCAATGGGTTTTTATCTGCTTTTACTTGTTTCCTTTTTTGTTTGAATCCATGAAATCGTTTTTCTTTTGATTTGTTATTCATGAGATCTTAGTTAATCATATGGGTGTAGTCTAAATTTTACATATGTTGAACGAAATCACCAAATAGATCAAACTAGGAATTACATAAACCAGTAAAATTAATTGCTGAAAATAATGATCAAACTAGGAATTACATGAGCGAGATCTGTGAAGTATTGCTGGACTCTGAAGGCAAACTCTGCTGCCTTTCTGAGTTATTGTTTCCCTTTCTTTTTTGGTTGCTTTGGTTCAATCCTTGTTTGCAGAATTGCAGTTAATGTTTGACAATTTTGGGAGGGAGCGAAATCGAAAGACCCAGATTTGTTGCTTTCATTAAGTCTTCTTAGCTAATGTGAGAGTGAAGGAGGTTGAAGCAATTATGATTTTAATTGCCACATAACTGCCACAGACGGAGCAATTATAATTTTAATGTATTTCATATGATTTAAACTTCAATTAATTGTTATTGTATTTGTGTAACAATTATGGTAGATTGAAGTTCATATTTTCTTGTGTTTTATTATAATTGTTGTTGTAGTTGTTTTAAATTTTAGTGTTATTGATTTATTGTATTGTTAAATTGATGCATGTTATTTAATTAAATAGTTAAAATGATTTAAAAATTAATAACTACAAAAGTGTTTACTTGACTTTCTACCCGATTAATCGGGCAGGAACTCCGGTAGGAATACCATATCTGATTGGGTAGATTAGGCAAAGAAAAAATTCTTTCGCAAAGTATCGGGTAGGAAGACAAAAGAACATATTCCTACCGGTAGAGTAGGGTGAACACCCCTATCTCTGACTTTCTCAATTTCACGTAAGTTCTTTTTCTCTCTCCAACCCTTCCTCGAAATTAGGGTTTGTTTATCGAGCTCATTTCCTCCCTTCCAGGGTTTGTTTATTTGTTATATGATACACATATCTTAATTTGCTCTCACTTAACTATATCTATAGTATCTGATTAGTCTTTAATTTGTTTGATCTGGATAATTGAAAGTCGTGGGTGTTTTTATCCTCTTTTGGCTGGGTATGTTCTTGTTTGTATTATTGGTTAACTAGATTTGATGTTTTGGGGAATTTGTGACCTTGAAATGTCCTTTTTTTTTTTAATTATTTATCCTTTTTAATCTCGATGTTCTTGTTTGTTATATTAATCGATTTTGATGATCATTGTAAATATTGCCTATCAAATGTTTGGGCTGATGTGTGCTGCCAAGACGACCCTGGATTCATTTTAGCTAGTTTAGAATATGCACCCACACACATGATCATCAGTAATCAGTAAGCTTGGTTCGTTATATGACACCCACACACACATCTAGAAGTTAAATATACACTCACTTCTCTATATTTATAGTATCTGTTTAATATTTGATTTGTTTGATGTGGTTGATCTGGATAATTGAAAGTCGTGGGCATGGTTATTCTCATTTGGTCGATTCTTTGGTTTATTTATTGATAAGATGTAATTTATTGGGACATTTGGGATCTTGATAAGTCCTTTTTCCCTCATTTTTGACCTTGATTATCTTGTTTGTTATAGTAATGACATTGCTTGTCTAATATTTGAGCTCGTGCTTTGCCAAGCTGAGCCTGGATTCATATTTTTTGGCTTTGAATTCCTGTAAAGATCAGATTCAAGCTGGTTTAGATTTATGAGTTTTGATTGAGCTAGGTTGGGTCCGTCAATAATTTAACAAGCATGAATTAATTTGTAGGCGTAGATAAATGATATATAGGTAAAAGTTTGGGCTATCAAGCATGAGTTGGGACTTGAGTCAAGAAGAATCTGCTTTGCTCAAATAAACTAGATGTTGGGTCTGTACCCTGCCCACCCTTCCCAACACATGCCTTTTTTATTCCAAGAAATGCATATTAAACCACAGTACAAGAGTATGCGAGTTTGTATCTTTGCATGTGTGTTGATAATCCGATTTAAAAGTGTAAAAATATACGTAAGAAAATTTGAATGAAAAATGGCTATAGAATCTTGAGCACTGGCTCACCATTTGTTTTAACTTAGAATAAAAGAAGCTAAGAAGGATGTTGCCTTCTAGCTAAAATCGAGGCTTCACAAAGAGGCACACATTCAATTAGGCATCACATACGTACTTGTGTTAATACTCAATGAGTAGTGATAGGGATCAAGACTTTTTCCAAGAACATGTACTTGGAAGAGGAGTATGAAGGAAAACCTCCATATGGGCTCCACCAATTAACCATCAAGTCTTGCACTCAATGTCATGTGACCAGGGCCTATAATTAGATGGGGTTATATGAACACGTATTATTGTGGCCCCTATGAGCTGGGAAATTCAGACTTCACACAATCAGAAAGGGTACAGCACTAGATATTTTCTGTATAGTGTGAGTTTCGCTTCTATATAAACAAGCCTTTGATAGTTTCTAAATTGTGTTACTTTTGCTTCTATATAAAGAAGCCTTTGCCATACATTCAAGGTATGTTGAGGAGTAAAACTTTCTTTATATTTCTACTTCTTTTGATGGTGACACTCCGTTGAAATCTTATAGCTGAGACTCCTAGATGGCCACAGTGAGAGACTGTGTTTTTATTCTCTTTTCCTTCTAGTTCTTCTCTTCTATTTACTGTGAGGAATCAGATCCAAATTACCCCTTCAGCCTTGATGTTGAGCACTATTTCTTGTCTGTGAATCTAATTCCATCCTCCACTACCGCTACTGCCGTATCCATTGATTTTCTATTGCTGTCTAGAAATTCCTGCTACCCATAAGGATCAGGTTCACAAGAAAATTAAACGTCATCTAATTAAACCTAGTCTGTTCTTAAACCCAATTCTGACCATTTTACAACTAAGGCCCTAGCACGTAGTATTGATTACAGGACAGCCTTAATTCCTTTGTTTTAGGTTTTGTCCGCCTTAAATAGTTCAGATATTGTTTGGGGAAAAATCGTGTAGCCTGAAAGACCTGCTCAAATAAAGGTAAAAGGCACGCTTGATTGTCCTAATAGAGCATGAATATCTGCATTTGTGAGCTGTAAAACAGATAAAAGGGTTTTGGTCTTTCAGACTGCCCCATAAATCACCACGCGCGATTCCCATACAAAGCATTCATTAACATGCCAAATCTCCGAAATTATTGCTTCCGTCCCATCATCCCATGAAGCAATGCTCATAATCGTGTTAAAATTTAGCTGTCTACTGATAGGAGACATAGTCCAATTTTGTTGTTTATGCGTAGATTGTTGTATTTGATTATGATCTATTATGGACATTTCTGGAATATAGAAGAGACTGAGTAATTGTGGCTATTTATCCGTATGGACCACATGTTGAAATGATTAAACTTATAAAAACTACAACATGCATGGAGGAAATGATGCACAAGAGAATCTATGCGTGTAGGAAAACATGTGCATGATAGATCTCTTCAATTAAGTTTGCAGATGCTATTTTTTCACAAATTCCTATGTTAGTTTCCCTTATTATTTAGACTAGCTCAAAAGATAGTGTGAGACTTCAAGGCTCAGCTGTTAATCTTCTGATGGTGACTCTGTAGCCTGAAAGATTGATAAAAATGGCTTAGTTCATAGGCTGATATTTGATGAAGTTCTGTGATCTGTGTGTTTCATATTTTTAATTTCCAAAACATAATGAAGCCGACAGAACTTTGCCAAAGATCATAATTTGCATGTGAGCTTTCTGTTGTTTAGACATGTGGGAATTTCAATGGAAGCAATCCAAATATTGTAGCCAAAGAACCATAGTGCGTACAGAAACTGATTAGAAGAAATATAGACATATAAGTTTGTGATGTATGATAAAATTCTGCATGTTTCTTTGAGTTGGAAAGTTATTGTCGAGTTTTTCAGTGAACGTGGAGTTTTGAGAGCGTGTAGTGGTCTTGTTCTGGTCTTCTTGGAAACTCACTTAGAATTAGAGGAGACAACTGCAAACATTTTGATACCAATACACGTGTTAATTTATTGATCCACTAGATGATATGGTGGAAGAGTTCCATGTTCCCTAAACTGTATCAGTGATGCAATGTATTGTATTTTTTTTTTGACCCTATTAGAAGCCATTAATGCCGGACACTATATTATCGTGTAATGGTTTTATTTGGTGACATCCAAGTGGTTTTAATTGAGACTGTATTTCGCACAACAGAAGCAGTACTCAGTTCAAGGAAAGCTTAAGATTGCTTATTCAAAATGTTCTGCGTCGAAGTGGTTAGTTCATTTTGTAGTATATATGTTGTCAAAGTATGACATCCAGGGCATAGAAATAAGTCGGCATCAAACGGGACTGTTATTAAGCTGTGCGTTCTGCTGCAGATGTACTAATGTGCACACACACATTTGTCATAAGATGCTTAAGGCTTATATTTCTAACTGGTACAGGATGTCAGAAACACCCTTCAGGCCGAGAGAAAAGCTCATTGAGAAGCAGAAATATTTTCAGAGCATCCACAAGCACACATATCTGAAAGGCCCTCTTGATAAGGTCACTTCAGTTGCCATACCTGCTGCCTTGGCAGCTACATCTTTATATATGATTGTGAGTTCATGTCTACTTGTTCTTCTTCCACTCAAGTTCCTTTTTGGTCCATCTATATGTGGTTTATTTCATCATTTGTGATGTTCTTGATGACTTTATGCATTTTCTCCAGGCACGAGGGATCTATAATTTGTCGCATGGGATTGGGAAGAAAGAATGAGCTCCGCCCGACAAGTGTCTGTATGGCAGCTTAATTTCAACATCCCAAGCTTTTCGACCTGGACTAATGTTCTTAGACCATCTAGCAGTTTGTACCCAATAATTGCAGAGTTGCATACTTAAATCTACCAATTGGTGTAGAGTCTTCTTCATCAATGACTGATTTGCTGATTTGTTTGATTGCTTGGTTTCCACTGGAGTATGATTTAATTTTTTAAGTCAGTATTTATGCATGTTTTGGCATATGCAGTTATTTTTTGTGTTACATTGGCCATGTTTGTTAGCACTTAACTTAAAAAAGCGGCTGTTTTAAAAGTATTCCTTGACCAACCATGATATACCGTTACTCAACTGGTCCAAGGGATCAAGAAGAGAGGTCAATGTCTTGAGATAAGGAAGTATGACTCTCCTCGAGGAAATTGAGCAACGGGGGCGGATGAGTGTGATTGTCAACCTTGGATGGGGCTTCGAAGGTTTAATTTGTCTGGGAATTCAGAGAAACTCCTGAGGTACAAAGAGATGGCTTGGATTAATATATGAGATATTGGGACATGTGAATTTACAGTTATAGAATTGAAACGATTTAATATTCTTTGAGCGGGCATCTTGGAGTTTACTCACAGGGGTTCCACAAGCAAGAGCGGTTTTGCGGTGTGCACAACCTGGGGGCACTGTGGCCATGACCATCCACAGTCATGACATTCTGTGACTCTTCCACCTCGATGGTCACTCCCAATGTCGGAGGCCGAACCTCCTCCCCGAGAAATGAGTCCAAATGGTATCCTTGGAATATTACATCTACTTAAGTAATGTTTGGGACATTGGATGTGCACTGCGCAAGCTTCGTATAAAATTGGCTTGAGTTGTTTGCATAAGCGCATGGTGTCCATTAGCAACGTGTTTTTTGCTGCTTGTCCATGAGCAACGTTGACCAAGTACAAAGACAATTGGTGATAATCTATACGGGCAGCTCGGATTTTCTGAGTACTTGTGCTATAAATACTATTATTGCTCACCCCGTAGTATGTTGAGCAATGGAGAAAGACTGATTGACATCGTGGTCTGAGACATATCCGAGGGGCTTAGTACGAGCAACGCCACCTCTGTCCGGAGGTGGTCATCCGGCTAATGATAGTCATTCAGTTGCCTCCACCGTCTCGAGAGTTCTTTCATCCAAATGTCGGGTCTCTTCATTACTAGGTAGTTCGAGTTCTTTCATCCCAACCATCTGTTTCATTCATCCCTTCAGTAATACAGATGTTGGTCATGTATGTCAACTCTAGTTTAACTTTCTATCTACAATACGTAATTTGGGGGAAATTTAGTTTAGTATAAGGTTTGTTGCCTTTAGTTGGTAGTGAATAAAAAGTAGAATTGACGCCGCTTAATTGAAATACAACTTTGTTAGGTCGTATTTTACTTAACATTTTTATTATTTGGATCTAATTTATTGATCTAATGCGTTGTAGTCATTAGATTAGTAGCAAACCTTAAAAAATACTAGGACTTATAGTCAATTTAATGGTTATGATGCTTTAAATCAATAAATTAGATTCAAATAAAAATTCCTCTGCACTTAATCTCTTAAATCCTTCAACAATGTGAGACTTAAAAGTGCTTTATCTTTTGAAATTTTTTCAGACTCAACTATTGTTACTCTCAAGTTTTTGTGGTGATAATAAATAACATTACTATCGAATGGGGTGATGTAGTGGAGTATCGACTGAACTTCTTATTTTGAGGCTAGAGGTTTAAGTCTTAAAGTCCACATTAAGGCTCTGTGATTGACTGCTATATTAGCCTAATTATGTTCGTTACCAAGATAAGTAATAGGCAAAATCAAAGATCTTATGATCCCACAAATTAAGACCTATTAGAATAGTCTTTGGACGTTATCCTTTGCCCTACCCTTTATCTCAACATTGTTTGTATGCTAATGTCACAACATCGGTGAGTTGGCCTTTTGGATTCACGGAGCTTCGTGGTGTTTCTCTGCCGTTGCTTATTGTGAAGGGTGTTATTACCTTTTGACAACCCGGTTACGAGATCGTGGCCATTGATCTGATTATAGGAGTGTTCATGGGCCGGATTATTCATGAGTCTTGTTATTCGACTCGAAAAAATAGACCCAAAATTTAATAGGTCCGATAGTTGGCCCGCCCGAGTCTAATATCCTTAAAAAGAGGGCTTAAATTTGCCCTCAAACCCATTATTTGACCTGAAATTCGGCTTAAGAGCTCGCCCGTCTCACCCCTTATTTGAAAAAAAAATTATACTTTTAGATCATTAAATTTGAAACTTTGAAATAAATCTTCAAATATTGGAATTTGAAGTTTTAAAAATTTAGATACTATAAATAATGTATTATTTTATTTTCCATGTATTAAATTTAAACATAGAAATTTTAAAAGGTAGAGTAATGCAAATGATAAATAAGTGAGTAGGTGTCAACTTAGTTGAAATGTATTCATTCTATAATTTTATTAGATGTAGTTTATCCCTTAATTAAAAATAAAATTATTTATTATTTTATTTTTATTCATTTTGACTTTATTTTTTATTCAAAAATATAATTTACATAAATATTAAATTACAAAAATATTTATTATTTTTAAATAAAATTACCCAAAAGTTTAGACCTACACTACGCAGGCCTGACCCAAAAATTTTTTTGTGAGCCTAGCCGGCCTGGCCAATGGACACCCCTCGATGCCAATAATGTTCACCTCACAACACAATGTGAAGATTGTTGAAAAATAGTTTTGATACCATTTGTTGGTTTTATACCATAGATAATTAACACAAATAATATTTGTTAGAAGATAAGAATTGAAAGATAAAAAAAATAAAAATAAAACATAGAGATATAACGTAATTTGATGTAACATACCCACTTTGGTACACTGTACTTATATCTACGGACCAAAAACTTTCATGCTGGTGATCTGCTAATTGATTACATAATACACACCCCTATTCATGTACGTGTCTAATATACCTATTCATGATATATTAATTTTTTTTCAATATAATCATATTTCATACAAGATTATGACATTGATTAACCAATTGTGACAATTAAAGAATTTTGATCAAGTTCCAACAATTGTGGTGCTGGGGGTGCTGCTTCTGGGATCGAGGTTCAGTTCTATGATGTCGAAGAGCCAGATAAAGGAAGTCACGGGTGCAGGAAATATTTGGTAGAGTCTTGTGGGGGAGTTACTACTTGTATGTCGCTGTTTCAATTACCGTGATCGTCATCAAACTGGTGCTTTCGACGTATACAGGCTTAGATGTTCGACGAAAGGCGTGGGTGAAGTTGGAAACCTTGGCCTGTTTTGAGTGCTTGTATTGCTTGGTGTATATGGAAGGATAGGAAAAGGAAAAGTATTTCAAAAATTTTAACCTCTCCAAAAATTGTTGTTAGGGAAGCAAGGCTCTTTGCTATTGATACTGTTAAAACTTTTCATAATGATCATGATGTCTTTGTTAATGCCTCTCCCAGACTTATTGCATGGTCTTTTCTCCAATCAGGTTGGAATAGACTGAACACAGATGGATGCTCCAAGGGTAACCCCGGTCCAGCAAGAGTGGGAGGTATCATCAGAAATGATCAAGGAAAATGGATTGCTAGTTTTTTTTGGGAGAATGGAGGATACTACGAGTTTTCAAGCAGAGCTGTGGGCTATCTCCAAAGGACCGCAGCTTGTTTAGAAGAGAAAAATCACATATGTCATTGTGGAAACTAATTCGTTTGAAGCAGTCAAACTCTTGTCCATGGATCCGGAGGCTACTCGTCCGCACAGAGCCATTATTTCTTACTGCAGAAGGTTGATGGAGCAGAATCATATCCCCATTGTTCACACTCTTAGGGAAGGCAATCAATGTGCTCATTTTCTGGGTAACTCAGGTGTCCAGCAACAGGAACATTTTGTTGAACTTGATGCTCCCCCTCCCCAATTAGCAAAGAATTTGTTAGCTGATCTGACTAGCATCGCCTTTTCTAAGAATTCTATTTAGTTTTTGTTTTCTGTTTTACCTTTCCGATGTACCAAAAAAAAGAAGTTAGAAAGCTTGGTACTGGTAGTCTCCACACAAGTTAGAAAGCTTTGTGATTCATGGTTTTTATAGGACTAGTGGTGCTCCCTTCGCCTATTTTCGTATATAATTTCACATATAAGTTGTAAATGGTTATTAATTAATACGTTTGTGGGATGGTATTAGTAGATAGTTTTTCCGATAGGTATTTAGATGATAGGTAATGAAAGTTATCAATGAAAGTGATTTTCATATTGTATTTAAAAACCTTGTTATGAATGAAAAGAGTATGTTAGACTTGAGTTAAACTTCCTTGTTAAAAATAAGGAGGGTTGATTCCTCTCGAACTGAATTATTGGAGGTTTTAAACCCTCGAAATGGGTCTCTCTTTATCCTCTATTCTGTGATGTGGTTTATATCGTGTTTAAATCGCGTCGCATCAAAATTTATTCAATTCATGCTTGACTGATTTATAGTTGTATTTAGTTGAGTTCGTGTCATGTCAAAATTTACTTAACCTATACCCGATCATTTGTAATGGTGTATATTTGAGTTTATGTCGTGTATATTCTACTTAAATCTACTTAGACTAAACTCAAGCCCATTAATTTTAGGTTGATTTCGGGTTCGTGATGTATGTTTAAGATATGGTATGTTATTTTTATTTAATTAAGGAGAATTTGTTGAGAAATCTAATCTATTATTGTTATTGGATGAAAAATTAGTTTCAAGTGACATTGGAATTCATAATTGATCAATGAATCAATTTGTTTAGTTAAGTCCAAATAATATTTCTCAATTTATAAATAAAAATTAACAATAATGTTATTTATATTTAATTATAAGAATTAACGACAATTTTGTTTCTATTTAATTAAAAATTTATAAATTAATTAGAAAAGCTGAATTACCACAGAGAAACTGCATCATATGGGTTATTTCTCCCAAAAAAAAAAATTTGATAAATTAATTGGTAGCAACAATTTATTAAAAAATATACAATATTTCATCGGTAATGTATATTACCTGGCTCTGACACGTGGTATGTTTAATTCAATGAAATGTTTTTCGGATCGTGTTATTTCGGATTTCCAGTCCTATCTGATTTCTGTACTTAATGGCATCCTTGCTTGTTTACGCGAGTAGTCTAAATGCCAAATGGACATAGCTTTTGAAGTTATGATTCGTACATGGGCCTATTTTTATTACCTTAAGATCATGATGGGCCAAAAAAAAAAGACTAAGAAGATTCTGATGGGCTAGATGTAGACTGCATGATGTAGTTAAGAATTGTTAATGAAACTGAGTTTCGGCATTGGGGGTCAACCCGGCCGCTTATATGAGGACTTGACGGAAAGGAGGCCTGAGGGCTTGTTAAGAAAGGCCATAAGGGCAGACGAAGGAGGAAAATT